GGGATTGATTAAATTAGACAGTATTACTGTAATCGATGAACAACAATGGCAACCAGAATTCTTCACTTTCATTGTTCTCGTTATTCTCCATTTGTAGATATACATGTGTATAAAAAACTTGGATATTGCATTATTATCTATTATCACACAAATATTTATAGGACATTCTTAAACAACTAGCTGACAATCCTTCAAGGCTTGAACTAGTGTGCGGAACTATATGAGGAGGGGATTAGGTATGGGTTCTATCTCAAGCAGTGGTAGAGCGACGTTGAGATCATGGGCCCCTTGGTCTTTTGATTTTCAATTTAATCCACAAATTTTGTATTTTAGGAATTTTACTCTTAAATTTTATTTAATTCACTTAATTATTTTTAACATTTATAAAAAAAAGTTATCATTACTTCTTTCTTTTTTTTTTTTTGTAAATCTTGTCATTAAAATTAAAATAGAATGTTGATATAACAATTAGGAACTCTATGAGACTAATTTATTAACTATAAAAATGGCATTTTAACCTATAATATTTTTTATCAAAAAATTGGCAAGAAAATTTTTAAAATTTTAACATTTCCCTCCTTTTTTTGAAAAAAAAAAAGAAACCATAGATTATCACCTTCGTCGTGCTTGAAATTAATCTAAAATTTTTATTTTAGTTACTAATCTATTTTTTAAAAATCAAATATTGAAGCTTCACCTCTAAGTCTCTAAATTTTTTTTTTTAAAGTCAAATCTATTTATTTTATTTTATCATTTGGTATATAAATTTTTTATATGTTTCTAAATTTATTACATTTTTTTAGATGTGTTTTATTATGTTTTTTTTTTCTTACAAATATAGTTAAACAATTGTTCACTAATTACAAAAAATTTTGAAGGATAATATATTTCACATTGAATATGGCCAAATTTGATTTTAAACACAAGTTTACGGCTTTACAATTATGTGTTACTCAATTTGGTCCTTTTTAGTTACTCAATTTCATCAACTTTATGTTAATTAACTTAATAATTTTATATAAACAAATTAATAACAACTAAAAATTTTTTTTGATCTAAGTGAAAATATTCAATAAATATTATTTTCGGAAGGAAAAAGTTTTCAATTGTCATATATATACTAAATAAAATATTTAAATCAAAATTTATACAAAAGTCAAATTAACACAATTAGAATAGATTGGAGAAAATAATACTTCATGAATACAAATTTAATTTAAGTATCACAAATTTGGCCCCCCTCGTCTCAAATCTTAGCTCCGTCACTAATGCCAAGTCTCAAAAAATTAGAAATAAAAAGGAATAAATTATAATATATTTAATTTAAGGGTAACAGAGGGAAGGGAAGGTAAATAGAATGATGTTATATAATTCCATTTCTCTTTATTTCTCTCCCTTTCGTTCTCTTTATTTAGATAAATAAAATTTTTTTTAAAATAATATAAATGACTCCCCTCCCCTCTCCATTTTTTAACCAAATAAAATAATTTTTTAATTAAATAAAATTTTTTTTTCTTTCCTCCCCTTAAATCAAACATACTATTAAAGTTTGTAGGTAAAAAAAAGGCAAAACCATAAGTTAAGCCCCTGAACCAACCCCAGAATCGCTATTAAGCCCCTAGACTCTAATTGATGCATATAAGCCCCTGAACTCTATAATCTGAGCAATTTTGCCCCTCCTCTCACAGTCAACTTAACTGCTGTTAACTGCCGTTTGAGGACTGCATCGTGTGGCGAAATGTGGCTGTCTCAAGCCTACGTGGCAAGCGATTTTGCATCTGGTTTGCCCACCTTGATGCAAAAAAAAAAAAATAATAAAGGAAAAATAATGTAGGAATAATTTTTTATATTATTTTTTTATAACTTTATATATTATTTAAATAATTAACTTTTTTTATTCATAAATTTGTCTAACATATATCTTAAATACACAAGTTAAAAATATAATAGATACATTTTTAATAAATTTATGTTAAAAAATAAAAGTTAATATTTAATGTTGTAATTATCTAATTAAATTTATTTATTTAACACCAAAATTAAAATTAATATTAATTTTTTACCTTATATATATTTATGATAAAAAAATACCCTTAACATGTGTATTAAAGATACAAATTGAAAAAACCTTTTATTTGTATAAAAGTTAATATTTAATGTTGTAACTATCCAATTAAATTTATTTATTTAACACCAAAA